TATCTGAGATGTGGAATCAACCTAAATGTCCATCAGTGGATGACTGGATAAAGAAAATGTGGCATATATACACAACAGAATACTACTCATCCATAAAAAAGAATGAAATTCTGCTATTCACAGCAACATGGATAAGCTTGGAGAAAATTATGTTAAGTGAAACAAGCCAGGCATAGAAAGAGAGTGAAGTGGGTGCAGAGAGAGAGAGAGATAAAAGAAACAACAATCCTAATAGTGCATTGAACTTTCAGAAGGACAAAACAGAACTGTGGTTACTAGAGGTAGGAAAGGGAGAGGGAGAGAAGAGTTAGTGGGAAATTGGTTAATGAACACAAGGAATGATTATGTTTTGTGATGACAAACATGCTAAATATCCTGGTTTGATCATCATGTGCTGTACGCAGGTATTGATATTCAACTCTGTACCCCACAAATATATTTAATCAATTTTTTCAATTAAAAAATAAAATTGTACTGTGTTTGCATTAAAAAGATGGAATCAAAAAATTCCTTGAAACAAATGAAAATAGAAGCATATCATACCAAAACCTATGGGATACTGCAAAAGCAGTAATAAGAGGGAAGTTTATTGCAATAAGTGTTTACTTCAAAAAAATAGAAAGATTTCAAATAAATAACCTAATGTTGCACCTCAAGAAACTAGAAAAACAAGAACAATCCAATCCCAAAACTAATAGATGAAAAGAAATAATAAAGGTCAGAGCAGAAATAAATGAAATAGAGACAAGAAAAATTACTAAAAGGTCAATGAAACAAAAAGTTGTTTTTTTGAGAAGATAAACAAAATTGACAAACCATTAGCTAGGCTAAGAGAAAAAGAGAGAAGATCCAAATAATGAAAATCAGAAATGAAATAGAAACTTTACAACTAATACCACAGTAATACAAAGAATTGTTACAAACTATATGACAACAAACTGAGAAATATAACAAATGGATAAATTTCTGGACACATACAACCTACCAAGACTGAACCAAGAAGAAACAGAAAACATGAACAGACTAATAATAAGTAAAGAGATTGAATTAGTAATCAGGAGTCTCCCAACAAAGAAAATCCTAGGACTGAATGCCTTCACTGCTAAATTCTACCCAATTATTAAAGAAGAACTAATACCGTTTCTTCACCAACTATTCCAAAAAAATAGAAGCATTCCTTCTGTGAGGCCAGCATCATGATGATACAAAAATCAGGCAAGTACACAACAACAACAACAACAAAACTACAGGCCAATATCCCTGATGAACTTAGATGCAAAAATTCTCAATAAAATACATACAAACAGAATTCAACAGCACATCAAAAAGATTATCCACGTGAACAAGTGGGATTTATCCCAAGAATGAAAGGATGGTTCGACATACATAAATCAGCAAATTTTATAAACTCTATGTCAACAAAAACCATATGATTATCCCAAGAGATGCAGAAAAAGCACTTGATAAAATTCAGTATCTCTTTATGATAAAAAACTCACAACAAATTAGGTATAGAAGAAAAGTATCTCAACACAATAAGGCTATATATAACAAATCCACAGCTAATATCATCCTAAACAAGGAAAAGTTAATGGCTTTTCATCTAAGAACAGAAACAAGACAAGGATGCCCGCTCTCACCACTCTTACGCAACATAGTACTGGAAGTTCTAGCCAGAGAAATTAGGCATGAGAAAGAAATAAAGGGCATCCAAATTGGAAAGGAGGAGGTCAAACTGTCTCTGTTTGCAGATGACATGATTTTATATAGAGAAAAATCTAAAGACTCCACCGAAAAACTCTTAGAACTGATAAACAAATTCAGTAAAGTTTCAGGACACAAAATCAACATACAAAAATCAACAGCATTTCTATACACCAACAATAAACTAGCAGAAAAAGAAATCAAGAAAGCAATGCCATGTACAATAACAACAACTAAAAATAAAATATCTAGAAATAAATTTAACCAAGGAGGTGAAAGATCGCTACAATGAAAACTATAAGACACTGATGAAGGAAACTAAAGAGGACACATAAAAATGGAAAGCCATTCCATGTTTGTGGATAGAAAGAATCAGTATTGCCAAAATGACCATACTACCCAAAGTGATCTATTCAATACAACTCTTACCAAAATACCAATGACATTCTTCACACAAATAGAAAAAACAATCCTAAAACTAATCTAGAACCACAAAAAAACCTGGACAGTCAAAGCAATCCTCAGTAAAAAGAATAAAGCTGGAGGCATTATACCACCTGACTTCAAAATATATACTATAAAGGTAAAGTAACCAAAACAGCATGGTACTGGCATAAAAACAGACACATGGACCAATGGAACAGAACAGAGAATCCAGAAATAAATTCATGTGTTTACAGCCAACTGATCTTTGATAAAAGTGCCAAGAATATACATTGGGAAAAGGACAGACTCTTCAATAAATGGTGCTGGGAAAACTGAAGATCCATATGCAGAAGAAAGAAACTAGACCCCTGTCTCTCACCATTTCTTAAAACAAACCCAAAATGGATTAAAGATTTAAATATAAGGTTTGAAACCATAAAACTATGTGAAACATGAAAAACTAGAAGAAAAGATGTGTGAAACATTCCAAGACATGGGTCTTGGCAAAAATTTTATGGAGAAGACTTCTAAAGCACAGGCAATAAAAGTAGAATGGGAGAAAATATTTGCAAACTATGCACCTGACAGGGGATCAATATCCAGAATATACAAGGAACTTAACAGCAAAAGAACAAATAATACAATTAAAAAATGACCAAAAGAGCTGAATACAAATTTCTCAAAGACATACAAATGGCCAGCAGGTTTATGAACGAATGTTCAACATCACTAATCACCAGGGAAATGCAAATCAAAACTACAATGAAATTTTGGGGGGAGGCAGGGCCAGATGGCTGACTAGAGGTGCCCAGAGTACGTTCCTCTCACAGGAAAGAACCAGTATAACTAACAGACAACTAAATATTGATGGGAGCATTTGCAGGAGAGTGCGGGAGCGCAACAGGACACTGGTGAGACCCGATCCCTGTGGATCACCAAAGCTCAGGATGGCAGCATAGAAAGGAAAGAGAGGCACACACTCTCCGTCACCACATCTCCGCCACTGGGACTGGTGCAGGAGGGATTTTCGCTTGCAGGAAAAAAGCAGGCCAAGGGCCCACATCAACCCCCATCCTCACTACAGAGGCCTGCAGATCCTGCTGCAGGAGGATTGCACAGCCATTGTAAACCCGAAGACAAGTGTAGAGAGCTGCCTAGAATACATGCACTGCACTGCTTCAGAGAGCAGCATTTACTGTGCACTCCCCAACCCCCATCCTTGTGACCAAGTATGGTACCATCTTGAAACCAGAGCCACTGTGGGAGTGCACCCTGCTCTGGAGCCAGTAGTTACTGTGCTTTCCCAGCCTTAAGGTTCTGCCGTCATACCAACACTCACGTAATAGGCTACAATGCCCTGATGCCAGCGGCTTGAAACCTGGGCGCACAGCAGCTGCAACTCTAGTCCTGCAGTTTGGGAAGCCAATCCCAGGCCTGCTGAACTGATGCACCACCACATCCCTAACCAGAGATCAGACAGACAGACCTGCCTCTGGCAGATACCTCTATGCTCCCAACCCTGAAAAACAGCCCACAGGTCTCTACCCTAACAAACATACCCTTGGGCTGGTGGAAATAAAGTGCATCCACGTTCTTCCAGAGAAGCAACCAGTTGCTTTTGCCATCAGCAATTCCACGCAGCACTCTCCCCACCACCATGAGAGGTAGCTGGCTGGACCCCCTCTTAGCAGGCTGGCTTCCTGACCCAAGAAGCTGCTGGCCAGGCCCCTGCTCTGCAGCCCTGCCTTGAGGCCTTGCCCACAGCCTGAGAGGCAGCTAGCTGGGCACCCTCTCGGTAGGCTGACTTCCCAACCTTGCCACTACCTGAGAAGCTGCTCAGCAACCCTTCTCTTGACAGGCCCGCTCCCGAACTGCCAAGGGAAGCACAACCTCGCGTCTGGCCCCAAGAAGTGGCACAGCGGGCAGGCCACCAGCAGACCCACACCCAGCCAGCAAGCCAAAGTGTGTTCATGCCCCCAACTCAGAAACAGCCCAGTTGTCACACACCTGAAAGACCCACCCCTGAGTCTTTGAACAATCACATGAACATGCATCTGAGTGAGAAACAGCCTGGCTGATGTGCCCCTAGCAGGCCTAAGCCTGGTCAGAGAAGGAACCCAGTGACTCTGCCACTGGCAAAACTGTCCCAGAGACCCTGACACATCACATGCCCACACACCCAACCTGAGTCAGCAACCTCATCTCCAGTGAGCCAGCTCCCAAGAAGACTGACCCACAGGGAGCACAGCACACCCCATTTTCACTACAGAGCTCACAGTCCATCCAGAATATAAATTTTGGACATAGTTATTACCTGCTATTACAACTCTGTGAAGTTCTAGTCAGCCAATAACCAGCTCCTAACCCTTCATCTCTTATGTCAGAACCTTCGGAGGGTCCACTCTGACTGAGGTACCAGTAACAGCCAGTCAAAAGGAAATGATTCTCTGGTGTGCAGCAATAAATAAGTCATAAGTTTCCTCATAAACACATTAAATGAAATATTTGTAAATAATGCAGAACACTCTACAAAAATAGTCAATTTTGGTACCTACCCATAATATACCAGCTTTCAATTATATAAAAAAGATGATAGCAGGTCCTATTTATATTTATATTCATATTGACATACACACAAATACATGTAGGATTTGATTTTAAATATGCCTGTTTTCTATTACAATAAAAATCCTTTAGACAAATCTCACTAAGAACTTTAAATTAGTGTCTCTTCTTCATTTCATGACAATTCTCTAAACATAAAAATAAGAATAAGTACTCTAAGTATACAAACTATGCTTAACTGTTAGTCTTTTTTATTCTTGGAATAAATCAATACAAAAACTAATTGCTACTATGTAAAGATCTACCTGCAAGTTTTTCTTTTTGACTTTCTGCATAAGAGTGCCAGGGATAAAATACAACTTTTTGAAGTTTGAAATTATGATGTGCCACTGCTGTTTTCATTTTTTCAGCCAGGATGTCATCTTCATTTACATGAGTTATTGCTGTGTCTCTCCAAGTGCTGCAGGCAGAAAACACAGAAAAATAATATTTTGATGTTAGGGCAATATATCAGTAAGTAAATTAAGAGGAACAAGAAGTGATGCCTCCTTAATCCCCTCAAAAACCACAGCATAGGAAAATACTTCTACAAATTGGGTATGACCAGAAGAATTCCTGAAAGTTATGGAGGAAAACAGAGATTATATGACAGTCATACCTCTTTTCAGATAAGATACAGAAATCATGGGATAAAGTCATGTTGTCATAACTTCAATTTACCAAAAGAATCATACTAACGATGATTTAAAAAAAAAAAAAAAGGAATCTAAGTTCCAAAACATATCTGGCCCCAAAGATTTCAGATATGTGGATTGTGGACCTGTACTTTCAATTTTGAGGGTTTTTTTTTTTTTTTTTTTAAAGACAAAGGTATACCTGAAGAAGTAAGGAACATATTTTAACTAAATAAAAGCTGATTGGATATAAAAGAAATATATAATACAAAATGGCAGAAACATGATTAAATAGATAAAATCAGCACAACTGGCCAAAAGAGTTTTTCTTTGTATGGAGACTATCAAGAATAAAAACTTTCTTCTTCAAAGAGGAAGAAATAGTATATGAAAATCATGTTCTTACCAAAAATGGGTCTTTATTAAATGTCCAGTGTAAAAGGTACATGCTTTTGTCATCAATTCTGGAGTCATCTATAAGTAAATAATTGAAAAAACAAACATTAGAAATAAATGGACTGCACAGGCTACCTCTGGAAGACAGAAAATGAGAGCCACGGTCGCCACTGGGGAGGGGAATTGGGCAGTTGAGGGGCAGAAAAGGACTGAAAGAACTATATACCATACATATATTTTGGAATTTTATTGTGTATGCCTATTACCTATTTTTTTTAAGTTTAAATCACAGCTTAAAATTTTTCCATTGCATCTCACTTACTTTAAAGCATTTTTAAAGTAAGTATTATGGTATTGTTATTATTAGCTATATCTATAAGCGTGTAGAGTTGCAGGTCTGCTGGTCATTATTAAAACTGAATGAGTTTGCCTTCTCAAGAGTATAAAATGAAATTCTCGTTTCCAAAAAAAAAAAAATGCATACAGCAATGCCTCCCTTACTAAGCAGGAATAGGAAAACCACATAAATTAAAAGTCTAAACTGTGAAATAGGCTTAAAGAGCTGCAAATTTATCTCTTATAACTATTCACAATAACATGTGGTACAGCTGAGGACTGCTGAACTCATCTGTACCTTCTGTATATTATTTAATGAGTAAAGATATTACCATATTAACACATTTATTATATGCGCATGGCTACTATTAAGTGCTAAAGATATAAGTCTTTCTCTTACTGTATTGCCACCCTGTTTACCATGTAGATATATAAACACATGCATGGACACATCGATTTGGTATAGAGCTACATGTGGTTCAAATCTATACCAACTGCTAGGAATTCTGAATTCTACTTTTCTGAGGCAAATGTTTTTCTCCTTTGCACACTGTTGTAAATGCTCTGTTAAATTAACAGATACAGCATATACATGTCATTTGTGGCTTAATCATAGGCACACGAGAAAGGCCCATAGGCCTCCTGATATTCTACTCATGTTCAATTACATTGGAAAATCCTCATTTTTGATGGGGATTAAATGCAAATTACGCTTATGTGAGGGAAAACATAAATTATTGAAGTCATTCTTTGCTAAATTCAGATTTTTATAGGAGAAAGGAATCCAGATGAGCAAAGGAGAAATGGGGATATCTCAGCAGGGAGGATAAAACCAGAAAAGGGATGAAGTGGCAGAGGTAAAGACAAATTTCGTCTATATGACAGTTCTTCAGATCTACTGTAGGTCCCCAAAGTTCCTAAGACTGATTTTCTTTAGAAGATATTGCCTAGAAAATGCTATATAAATATCTCCAGTAAACAGTGTAAGTCATAAAAATACAAGTATATTACATGATCGAATGAATGTAATTCAAAACATTATAGTAAAAATGATTGAAAATAATTCAGCCAGTAATATTGGAACTCGAGTTTTTTTTCCTGATGATCAATTCTTCAAAACAGCATAAAAGTATTGTTTCTATTGTTGAAAGAAGTAGTTGAAGTCCTCATTAATTCATGGTGTATGGTGTGACAAGAGAATTTGTCATTCTAATATTCCCTTTTTAAAAGTTTCTTTCCCTAAATTTTTATTTTAATTTCAAATGTTTTGTTCTGCCAGCAAAAAACAAAAACAAAAACAAACAAACAAAACCCCTAACAATGAAAACCACCATGATTTTTCCTATTTTTGGCATCCTCTAGTTTTGTTCACAGGGAAAAGCAGGTTTAAGAGAGCATCTCTAAGTACTGGCATGCAGCGGGGACTCTAGCCAGTAAAGCCTGTTCCCACTTGGAGGTGTGCATGTGCCAACTCCCCTGCAGCTCAGGGGAACATCTGGCATGTCCAACCACTGGGCACTTGCCTGGACAACTTAGTCACATGGTATCACTTCCACCATCAATGTTTTCACCACTCTTGCTCCAGCAATGAGCTTTCTACCCTCCGTAGTTGTTGTATATTGTTTAACTGCTTGTGATTGGAAAATATTCTTTCTCTTTTTATTCCAGCTGGCAGTATTTTGCACAGAGGAGGAGCTCAACAAATATGTATGTATTGATTGACAGAATTAGAAAACTGCCTACATGTAGATCCATTCTCTGCCATCTGACTGCTACAAACGCAGGGGAAAGGATCTGGCAACAACTTTGTGGAAAGTCGCCAGATAAAAAAGCAACTTAGTGTTGGCTACAGGGGATCTCAGAGTGAGAACCCTGGTTCCAGGCCCTCATATACCACTCGCACCACAAGTGCTGCTGCCCCCAGACACCTGCTAGTTATAACTGAAGTCAGGGAGGAATGGAGGGTCCATCACAATACACCCTTAGAGTCCATTTAGTTATATTATAAGGTTAGTTTCAAACATGGAAATAAAAAAATTCTAGCATGGTAGATGGTTTCTAAAGTTAAAAAGTTAAAGAGTGGGGATGTCTAAATAATGAATTGGTTGTGAAAAAAATTTCCACTATTTAGTTAGAATTCAATACTACTTTCTTTAGGCTGGTGGCCCTTGTTCAGGGGCCAGTTAGAATCACCTGTGAAACTTCTTTTAAAGTACCCATGCTCGCTACCCTACCTTCCTTAGTCCCCCACCTATCTATATTGGTCCTCCATTCCCACCCTCTCTAGGAATTACTGCTATAATGAGTCATTTTTACTACTGAGAGTAGGCCTTATCCCTCATGTACACCAGGGACAGAAAAAAGGGTTAAGGACCACTGTTTTTTTGTTTTTTTGTTTTCCTTTTTGTCTCTTTTTTCATGTCCGGCAACAGATCGCAACCCTCAGTGTCACGCCCGTACCAGACCGGGACCGGCAACGGGATCGCAACCCTCGGTGTCGCACCAGCCAGTGAGCGGGAACCGGTCTGTATGTTGGATCCGAACCCTTGGCGGGAGCGCCGCCACGCTCCCAAGCGGCGCACTGTAGCAGTGCGCCACCGGGCCGGCCCAAGGACCACTGTTTTAAGCTGAGTTCCAACAGGATACAAGAGCACACTAGTTTCAAGGAAACATTTTTAACAGAATGGAAGAGAGATAAAAGGAAGTGAAATAGAAAACTGTTCTCTTTTTAAAAAGATACTGTATATAGCATAATTGCGACTCAGTCTTCAAAAATATTTGATTAGAAAAATTTCACACTTGTAGAGAAGTAGAATAAACAGCTAATACCCAGTCTACAATTAACAGTCATCATTCTACTACTGTACTTGCTTTTTCTATTTTGAAGTATATAAAGACATCATGACATTTCATCCCCCAAATCCTCTAATATCCATCTCCAAAAAATAAGCACATTTTCTTTGCAACCTCAGTTCCATTATCCTACCTCGGACAATTAATAATTGCTTAATATCATCTAGCACCCCCTCCATATCCAAATCTCTGGAATTGTCCTGAAAATGTCTTATACAGTTATTTTGCTCAAACTAGGATTCAAACAAGGACCACATATTTGCATTGGAAACTCAATTTATGTCAAGAACGTCCGACCCTTTTCTTCCTTCTCCTTTTCTGTATTTTTCAACATTTGATGAATATGAGGGGTGGAGGAGCGATAGTCCCGGCCTAAATCTAATGAATTCAGTTATCTGGACCTGTCTCATGAAATGTTTAAAGAAAAAGTTCTAAAGTCAATTAAAATATTTTTGTTTTGAATTTGTTGCGACTGGAGACTAAGGGGTCATTTCTATCATAGAATAGGGGTGGGGAGCCACGTGGCATCTGTCTCAGCTGCATGAATGGGGGCTCTGAACCTTAAGGAAGAGATTGCAGGCAGAATCCAAAACAACAGTTCCTATGAGACACATGGCACTATTTGTGCAATGCGAAGTAAAGGAGAGGCATTTTCCCCATTTCTGTACAACACACAGCACAGTGCCATCAAATGTCATGTGACTTTAAATATATTATGTCAAATTTTAAAATAATTCAATCCCCCAAATTAAAACTTTATCAAGAATCACTTCCTTTCAAAGCTGGTGGGAAGTAAATGGAAAGTTTTATTTAAGTTCTTGTCACATAGTGCTACAATTTAGGCATGTAAACAAACGCGGCCTTAGTCTTGAAGTACAGGTGTGATTTATTAGAGGTCTTTAGAAGAGTACCTCTTGCAAAAAGTGTGACCACCTGGTGCAGTTTGAGTACAGACAGGCGTCCATAGAAAGGAACGCTATTTTGGCATCTTAAGGATTTGCAGGAGTAGAAGCCTGGAGCACTGGCTCAGAGGAAGTCAGAGCTCCCAGGAAGGTGAGTGCGAAAGAGTTGGGCTCCCCTTCACATGGCTTCACTTAAGAGGAATTCTTACATTCACGTGGGACAGCTTTGGGATTCCAGAAACAACTGGGTGAAACTTTAAAGGGCAACTGACCTCCTGTGTTATGAAGACAGGAGCTGGAAGCAGTGAAATCCGGAATATTACTATTAACACTGCCCTACTTGTACCCCTGGCTGGTGAGAACTAGGGAAACCTTATAAGTGAAAAGAGAATGAAATACCATTAAAAATCATTATTGCTAACTCACAGATACCAAATCTATGGGTAGTAATTAGTCCCATTAATTTTTAACTTTGTAAGATACTGTCCATTTATTATATATGAAAAAATGGATATATTTAAACTATAAAGTTTTAGTTCTGTAATAGTTGAAGTACCTAGTACAGTATTGGAAATTGGGTAAGAACCAAATGCAAAACAAATGTAAATCATTAACTTCATATTATGATTTTTAGCTTTTAACATATTATACCGTAATTTTTCTTCCAGTAGGCAATTCCTTTTTTTGCTCAGTTAATTTTTGAATCAAGCGATCATATACGAAATTGTCCTAACATATCTCACCATATTTTAAAGTACCACACCTTGGGCCGGCCTGGTGACGCACTGGAGAGTGCGCCGCTTGGGAGCGTGGCGGCGCTCCCACCGAGGGTTCGGATCCCATGTGGAGACCGGTTCCCGCTCACTGGCTGAGCGTGGTGTGGGAGCAACACCGAGGGTTGCGATCCCATTACCGGTCAGTAAAAAAAAGACAAAAAAAGGAAAAAATAAAAAATAAAAAATAAAGTACCACACCTTTACTTCATTC